TATATATATGTATGTATACACACACACACACACACATATATATATAAAGAAAATATAAAATATTAACAATTACTGAATCTAGGTGGGGGGTATATGGGTGCTTACTATACTATTGCTTTTATTTTTGTTTTTGTATATTTGAAAGTTTTCATAGGAAAAAATGTAAAAAAATAAAATTCCCTTTTATTCAAATATCATGTCTCTCCCATACCCCCAAGCCCTCAATTTCTTCATTGTTTGAAGAACCTTTTGATGAATATTTATTCACCTTAAATTAGTAAATAAATCTTGAAGGGAGACAAAAAACAAACAAATAAAAACAACTTACGTAAACAGAATTCCACTTATTTTTTTAAATTCTTCTTTAGTGAAGTACTCTTTAAAAAATCCATCATTCATACACGAACACACACACACGTTCATGGAAAGGAGTGAAGGGATGAGAATATATCCTAGTGTAGAGGTTCTGAAGGGGAATTTGTTGTTTAGATATGAAGGATCAAGCTGTGTATTTTTGCTTAGTAAGGTATCATTTTTTATAGCATGTTAAAAACTCTTATTATTTCCTTCCAATCTCTGGAACTGGAAGCTGTCGACTTGCTGGAGAAGATGCTTGTATTGGACTCAGATAAGAGAATCACAGCAGCCCAAGCCCTTGCACATGCCTACTTTGCTCAGTACCATGATCCTGATGATGAACCGGTGGCTGATCCTTACGACCAGTCCTTTGAAAGCAGGGACCTCCTTATAGATGAGTGGAAAAGTAAGTCCTGAGAGCAGGATTAGCATCTAGCTTAAGAACTTAGCTTTAAAAACCTTCTCTAGCCGAGCCACTGACCAAAAGCCATGGAAGAATAAAAACTGCTGAGTGGTTGTCATCAGCTCAACTAAAACTTGTAGTTAGGGTCTCTAATGCAGAATGAAAGTGTTCCTCAGAGTCTTTGCATTTACGTCTCTGATAGCATAGTACCTAAGGCATTTGACTGCTAACCAGAAGGCTGGCAGTTCAAACCCACAGCAGTTCCTCAGAAGGAAGACTGGATAATCTACTTCCGTAGAGATACTGCCTCAGAAACCCAAGGAGGGGTTGCTGTGAGTTGGGATCGACTCGACAGCAGTGAGTTTGGTTTGTTTTGTTTTGGTGGGGTTTTTTTTTGAGGGAGGTGGAGATGAGTAGGGAATGGGGTATTTTATTGAGAGAACTGACAGAAAGAGTTTATATCTTATTTGTTATACCTTAGAGCTAGTTTGAGTCACAGCCAGAAATAGAGCCCATTTCTCCTAAGTTCAATCTTATGTTTCCACAAAACACAAAATCAGAACTCCAGTTAAGTTCCAAAAGCCAGCACTGTCTAGCCCTGTAGCTCATAGGAGTGTTCTGTCACTCTTGAGTACCTTCTCCCAAAGATTTTAACAAGGAGGCAGTCAGTGATGAAAGAAATGAAGAAAAGTAGCCATTCTATTTATATCCTTGAACTTTTGTGCCTCAAACAGGGAGGCAGTTATTTGAAATAGCCCTTCAAACCACTAGTCTGGACAGAGAGGGAGGAAGAATCTGGAGGTTAGAAATCAGAGTGCTTGCCAATGTGGTAAGATGATTTGAATTTCTTCCTCAAGATTAGTCTTCTACAACTCTAACATCTTACTCTTTTCCCTGATTTCTAGGCCTGACCTATGATGAAGTCATCAGCTTTGTGCCACCACCACTTGACCAAGAAGAAATGGAGTCCTGAGAACCTGATTTCTGTTCTGTTGATCCCACTTCACTGTGAGGGGAAGGCCTTTTCATGGAACTCTCCAAATATCATTCAAGTGCCTCTTGTCGCAAAGATTTCCTCCATGGTGGAAGGGGTGTATGTGTATGTGTGCGTGTGTGTGTTCGTGCGTGTGCATGTGTGTGTTCTCTTTATGGTAAGAGAATATGAGCAAACTATGATCACAGTGACTTTATGTGGCATCGAGATCACTCTGTGGCAGCCTCTGCCTGCTCTTCATTGTGAGAGTTGGCTCAAGCAGATGAGAGCTCCAATCTTGTTAGGGGTATGTTAAATGCAAAGTCAAAATATTAAACAGCCCAGATCCCAGGCATGCTTTTACCACTTTGGCCTCTCCTGTGGTCCCATCTTCATGGTGGGAGTAGATGTGACCGTATCGCACAGTGGCCCAGAGGGAAGGCTCATACCTTCTGGCTACTTCAGATCTGAAGCCGTCCCTCAACAATGTGTACAGCCACAACGGACCAACCGGCCTCTGTGCACTAGCCCGTGATTAACTTGTTTAGTATCATCCTCAGAACTTGACAAGTGTACCTGAAACTGTAAATATGTTTGTGCCTTAAAAGGAGAGAAAAAGGTGTGGGCAGTTAAGGGAATGCAGCAGATGGAGTTCTGAGCCAAGCAGGCAGACAGGGTTGTCAGACGGCCACTTGTAAACCGGTAGTGACCAGGGAGCCCTCAGAGGCAGTGTGTATGTATGAATGAGCATGCGTATATGTGTGTGTGTTTCTCCCTCACCCCTAGGCGGTGTTGCCATTTCTCTGCTTACTCCTCACCTTCCACACAGAGGTTTCTTGAGTATTGGCCCCAGTAGTCATAAGCAGGTTCTTACTATCAGTATATTCCTGTGTGCTTTTTATTCCTAGCAGAGTGAGGATGTGTTTTGCATGTCTTGCTATTTGAGCATGCACAGCTGCTTGTCCTGTTCTCTTCGGGAAGCCCTGGTGCCAGGCACGTTTGCCAGTGAAGACTTGTTGGGTAGTTCAGACCCTGTGTCACCTCAGCCAATGTTATGGGCCGGTGACATCATCCTCTCTTCAGCCCCCAGTGCTATTTTGTGTTGAACACAACTGCTACTCCAGGTGCTTTTGATGTGAAAACCGTGAAGAAATGGAACAAATGAATGTATAGCATTTTAATCCTTGCCATCCTGGTTTTCAACAAACTATTTTTGGGGCACTGTCATGGGAAAGATCAGGGCTTTTCCCAGGAATATCCCAAACTCTGGAAAACAAGTTGTTCTCTTCACTTCCAGTAACTTCAGCTGAGGAATGCTGAAAATCAAAGTGAAAAATAAAAGCTCATGAGGCCAGAAACTCATTTTGCTATCTTTCTCTAAATATGGTTGCAAGAAAAGTAACGAGGTGTTTTTTTCACCCCTCTATTGAAAAGGGTCTTCTTGGCAGCTTAACATTGTCTCCTTGGTCTTGGTTTGGGGAGAAATCAATTTTGTTTCTGAATTTTGTATATTGCAGGAATCCTTTGGGAATGTGATTCCTTTTGATGGGGAGAAAGGGCAAATTATTTTAATATTTTGTATTTTCAACTTTTTAGAGATGAAATATCCTCAGGGGTGGAGAAGAGTGGTTTTCCTAATTTTTTGAATTTCAGGCATCTTATGCTACATAAAGGCCCACGTTTAAGCCTTTTGTGAAATAGAAAGTGCAAAGCCACTTCCAGGGTTGGCTGTGTAACACCTTGAACTTGGGCCGAGGTGTTTCCATTTCTCTGTCACAGTGTGGTGATACGCGGTGCTCCAGAGGACAAGGAGATCTCCTGGGTCATCTGGAGCAAGAAGGAAGGAGGCAGGCCAGTGGTGATTACCCCTCCCTCACCTAGGATTCTCCCCCTCTTAAAAGGAAAGTGAACGTTAAGGCCTCATCTCCTTTATATGCAGTTCAAATCCTCACTTGGAAATGTAATCCACAGCAAGATGAATTTTATCAGCCGTGTTTGGTTGTAAAAGCTAGTGTGATTTCCTACAGAAATACTGCGCTGAATATTTTTTCATAAAGGTCTTTGCACATGTGACCACATACGTGTTAGGAGACTGCATGCTCCAGGAGCCTGGACTCCAAATTGAGCTTGAGGAAGAGCTCCTTGGTTTCTGAGCATTATGCTCCCTTCTCCTGATTTCTCTGAACAGAACACAAGAGAGAATGAGGGAAACTGCTATTTTATTTGTATTCATGAACTTGACTGTAATCAGTTATGCCATATAGGATGTCATACAATACCACTGGTTAAAAATAAAACCTATTTTTCAAATGTAGTGAGTTTCTCAAGTTTATTATATTTTAATTTTGATATTTTTACTTGATACACATGACAGCTTTATTTCAATGTTCTCTCAACTATGGCCTGGCTTAATTTTCTGATATATTTTAATTTTACACTTAAAACTTAGAAGATGTTATAGAGCTCTTTAAGCCTGGGGTGTAGTTCTGAAGAGTATATATTCAAGGGCCATAGCCAGCTAATACATGACAATCAAAATACATTTGCTTAAAGTCTACAAACAATGTATACATATGTGTAAAGTCTATAAACATACATATATGTATATATCTATATGGTGAAGAGGATCTGGGTCTCAATGTGGATGGGTAAAACAAAGAACAAAGAAACAAAGCAAACCCCAAGTCTATGGTCCTTACATACCCTCAGGCCTAGAGCTGGACTCACCCATGGCTCAGCTTTCAACCAAACGACACAACAGACCTACAGAGTAAGCAGTAACACCAAGGAGGTAGCATTCCTTAGAACAATCAACAATACAAGATCAAAAGGACAGCATTTGCTCAGGACACAGTAAGAGACAGGAAAAAAGGCCAAATGGAAACAGTTAACACAGGGAGGAAGTGGAAAGAGTGCTGTTGCATTGTGGAGCTTGCAATCAGTGTCACAAAGTAAAATATGTATGAATCGTTGAAGGGAAAACCAATTTGCTCTGTAAACTTGCACCCAAATTACAATAAAAAGATAAAAAACAAGAAAAAAGGCATAACATGGTATAGTCTGTGTTACGACAGTTGAATGTAAGAGTGTCTTAGGGTACTACACAACACTCAATAATGTAGTATCTGCAAAATACCGTATAATGTGAATGAACTTGGAGGACATTATGCTGAGTGAAATAAGTCATCACAGAAGGACAAATATTGTACAAGTTGATTATTGTAAAAAGGCAAGGAAAGGTTTCTTAAAAAAAAAAAAAAAAAAACAATGGCTTAGGGCAGGGGTCAGCAAACTATGGCCTATGGGCCAAATCCAACCCACCATCTCTCTTTGTGTGGCCCAAAAGCTAAGAATAGTGTTTACATCTTTTAGTGGTTCAAAAAAAAAAAATCAAAAGAAGAATGCCTTGTACTATGTGAAAAATAAAGTAAATGCAAATTCAATGCCCATAAATAAAGTTTTATCAGAACACAACCCTCCTTTGTTTATGTGTCTTCTGTGGCTGCTTTCACACTACAGTGGCAGAGTTCAGTAGCCAGAGAGACCACATGACCTGCAAAGTGTCAACTATTTACTCTCTGGCCTTATACAGAAAAAGCTTACTGACCCCTGGCCTGGAGCTTCTGTAAAATGAGTTTTCTTAAATAGACATGAGTTCTTTCTAACTTCCACATTCCAAGACCATCTGTAAACTGTTTATTTTTAATTTGCCAGAGAAAGGGCTGGATGTATACATATATATGCACACTGTTTGTAGACATCAAGCAAATGCATTTTTTCACTGTCTTGTATTAGCTATGACCCTTGAATATACTATTCAGAACTACATCCCAGGCTTAAAGAGACACGAGGTCTCACCATTGAGTTCGCAAGGCCTGTGCTGGTGTGCTTCCTTTCTCAGTGGCCTTGGGATGCTGACAGGTGTCCCAGATGGATTTACCAGGCCCAGCCTGTGAGAATATCGAGAGTACAGCTGGGTCTGCTGTGCTGGCTGGTCCCTGATTGGCAGCTGGGAATAATGGCAATGATACAGGTGGCAAAGCAAACACAGGCCCTTTCTTCATCCTGTTTCCTTGACTTGTTGAGGGGGTGAGAGAAGACTCAATTGCCCCATGTAGTACATCACCTCCTGTAAGGATCAGACATTGCAGGGCATGTTTTGCCTTCACATACCAACATGAGCACCCAGCAGCCAGTTCTCTGCAAGTAGAGCACCACCACTCCTTTATTAGAAGCATTCTCCACCCACCTGGGAGGGCTTAAGGGCTTATTTTAAGGATCTGAAACAAGAGTTTTCAATTGGGTGCTATTGACACTTGGGGCTGGATAAGTCTTTGTTGTGGAGGTGCATTGGAGGATGTTCTGCAGCATTTCCGGCCTCTCGCCACAAGATGCTAGTAGCACACACATGCCAGCCTCAGATGTGAGGCCAAAACTCTGTCTAGACATTGCCAAGTGTCTCTAAGGGGCAAAATCACCCCTAGTTGAGAAGTACTGATCTAAAGCATGGTCCTCCCAGTCTTGCAGAATACAAAGCTCCTTTTCTTGAAATAACTAAAGGTTAGCACTTCCTAACCTATTGTCACTAAGAAGTGACCTGCTATCATGGGGGGCGGGGCAAGAGAAGAGAGTACAAATTTGAAAGGCCTTTTTTAAAGACTTGAGTATATATCTTTTTAAGGGAAAGAAGATGTTTAACAATTCAGAAGAAAGTATGTTCTGTACCGGATTAAGGCTGTTCCATTAAAAAAGGGGTGGTGCTGTGGGTATCAAATGAATTAAGTGTCGTTTGTTTGGAAGTTCTTTGACCATTATCCACAGACAGATGTAGGAATTAAACTGGTGCGTGCTCTGGTGGCACAGTGGTTAAGGCATTCATCTGCTAACCAAAAATTGGCAGTCCAAACCCACCAACTGCTCCACGGGAGAAAGATGAGGCAGTCTGTTCCATATAGATTTACAGCCTTGGATACCCTATGGGGCAGTTCTACGCTGTCTCTGTGTCACTATGGTTAGAATTGACTCGATGGCAGTGGGTTGGGTTTGGGTTTTTGGCATAACTGCAAGATTTTCTTAGCCAGGTGATAGGGAACAGTAGATAGAATACTGGATTTTGAAGCCACACAAACTTGGATTCAAATCCCAGATCTACCACTTGTCAGGTACGTGACCTTGGGCTAAGAGTTACTAGCTTTCACGAGATTGTAAAGATTAAATGAAACAAATCTTAGTGGGCCTGATAAGTTGCAGGTACTCAAGATACTGACTGGTTAGTTTGCACCTCACATGAGTTGACTTTGGGTGGCAAGCCTGCCCTGTTAGGGTGAGTTTGGGAGTGTTCTGTGGCTAGGGAGCTGTTGAGCCCTTCTGAGGACTAGGTGGTCCAGAGGCCTTCCTGGTTTTCTCTGATTGACATCCTTTAAGAAGCCTCTCCTCAGACAGTGGCATCCATGGAGCTCCATCCTGAGCTATTTACAGAGCCTCTTCTCATGCCACTTTCTCACATTACTGGCTTTTCTCTCTATTTTATCTTTGTCTTCAACTTTTGTATTTGCCATGGGCACCTTGCACAGTGCACTTGAGAAGCACAATAGAATGGATTTGATACCCAGTGCCACTTAAGTCAGACTTTGCCACTTAGCACCAAAATGTTGTTTTGGAGGCAGCTATGTCAGTGCTCTTAATGTAGCCTTTCCTGAGCAGTGAAGCTGATGTGCTGGTCAAGCATGATTGGAGAGACAAGCCAAAGGCTTAGAAAAAATATAAATAACTCACTGCCCTAGAGTTGATTCCAACTCATAGCAACCCCCACCAGGTTCCCATGCAGTAAATCTTTATGGAAGTAGATTGCCCCGTCTTCCTTCCACAGAGCAGCTGGTAGGTTTCAACCGCCAACCTCCAGTCAAATGCCCCCACAAATGTCATTTAATCTTCAAATTTCAGTTCTCAGTGTGATCTTGAAAGTCAGTTGTTATCACTAACCATGTAATCACAGATCACTAACCATGTAATCACAGATTTCTTTCAAGAGAGGATTCCTTTTCAGGACTGCTCCCAAAATGCAAATGAATGCCTGCTGTTAGCTCCACTGTAGTTTCTGGAGTGCTCGCATTATTAAAGCTGTGGTCTGAGTACCCACAGCCAACAGGATACTGTAGGACTCAAACCTATTTGATTAATTCAACATAAGAGGATGTGCTTTGTTTAGAAGTCACTGAGCAATTGAATGAATGTTTCAATAATAATTTTTAAAAATATATGCCACTATGTTTTGAGTGTGAGTTTAGGCCAAAAAAAAAGTAAAACCACAGGCCCAGCCTAGACTCTTGATAGAGATCAGTGGTTCTTGACTCTATGAGATCAAACACCCTTTTTTTCCATAACAAACACTTCACAACATCCCTTTTATAATCCTGAACAAAAATTGATGGATAATATACATATACGTGCTCAATTTCAAAGAAAATAAAATGCTCTAATATAAATGATAAAGAAAAATGTAAGTGCATTTAATGGTCCAGCATAACCACGTAAGAGAAATAATGAAGTAGTGAGCTGCTTGCACCTATTCATAAACACGCCATGAACATGACAGCCACAAACACCTGTGTTGTAGCAACAACTCACATACCATGACTGACTCTGCGGTCATCATGTGATTTTCTGAAATTTTGATGAACAAGTCTTGGTAACATTCCTAACAAAACAAATAGAATTTTTTAATTTATACAGTTGTGTACCTGGAAAATTTAAGTATCTTAACACCATTCAAAATATTATGTTTTATCTGTAAAATTAAGTGAGGGCCTAGGCTGAGATAATCGTAAATAAGTGTTTTGCTTCAAGAGCATCCAGCAGGATATTTGAGTTATTGGTAAAGTGAAACAATTCTTGAGAATCTCACTCTGCACATTGGCCCCTGCATGCTAAGGGTCAGTAAGTAATACCCCCAGTCATTGTGAAACCAAAAACTGGAAACTCACAGATTTCCAAAGTGTACCCATTAAGAACTGTTGACATAGACTAAATGATTCAGGGAATATAGAACCCTAAGAAAGTGTAATCTCCATGTCAAAGAACAGATATGACTCCTTGCTCTTCCCCTCCTTCCTTCGCCTCCTTACCCTCTTTGCCCTCTGTCTTATTGATGTCATGCTGCTATGGCAGAAATACAGAAATTTTCTCACAGTTTGTTGTTGTTGTTGTTGTTA